GCTATGGCTGTTTTGGGTAAAGGCTGTGGATGCATTTGTCTGTTCTCAGTGTTGCTATTATCATTATTTTTTACCTCTTTACCCTATGTGGGGCACCTGCCCCCACTTCCATGGAACGAACCACTCCCTGCTCCTAGCGCACAGTGACCTCGACCCTGTCAAATAGCTTCCAGCCCTTGGAAGCTTTGTGCTCCACTCTGCATGGGGTAGGCATATCAAAGCATAGATACAAAAGTGTGTTCCAAAATACCAGGGATGAAAGAGACCAGCCCTGTGACTCAAAATAAATTGATACTTTTGTGAAATGGAGACATAAAAAAAACGTTCTCTTAGAGTCTCAATTGTTAAGAGCATATATTGCTCTTCCAGAGGACCAAGCCTGGGTTCCCAGCACCCAAGTCAGCAGCTGGCTCCAACTCCAGGGTGGTTTGACCCAACTAGCTTCAGAGGATACCTGCACACAATGGCACTTACACTGAAACATACATATACATAATTAGAAGTAATAAAAATAAATCTTAACATTGTTTTTTAAAGTTCTCTTGCAAGGTGGAGTCAAAGTGGCCATATATTCAAGGCTAGCTTGGACTGGATAGTGGGACTCTGTCTCCAGCACACACACACACACACACACACACACACACACACACACACACACACACGAGTGTGCGTGTGCGCTTGAGAAAATGGTAGACTCCTATGAACATATCTGCAGGCTCTTCAGAGGCCCCATATATGTGGGCATTTTCTTTACTCCTGAAATAAACGGCCTCTTGCTCTCTCTCATGGAAGTCAGCCATTTCCTGAATCAGGATTACCCTCTGCTACTTTTTAGAGGGAGAAAGCCATATTTATAGCTCATGAATAAAACACTAGCCAACCGTGCTAAGCCCTGACAGTGACCTAAAGCTAGCTGTTGCCCAGGGATCAACCTGCTTTGTTCACACAAGCTCTGGCTGCTGATGCAAGAGGGATGGCAGCCAGCTTGGTTTGCATGAAAGAATGATGAGAAGAACATCCTCTAAAGAGCTCTATCACTGTTGTGAGCTAACGAGACACTAATATTTCAGATACAAACAATGGTGAGGTGGTGTTGAAGAAGTAGCTAAGACGCACTGGGCATCATCTATGCACTGCTTGGTGGTATTGGTCCCCCCAATACATTCAAGGAAATCCTATTGTATGTCCATTTGCAGATGCAAACATCAAAGCTCTGGCATGTTGCTACTTCTCTCAAGTGTGGAAGAGGAGCTTGATCTTGTTATTGTTCTCACTCCAGGAGTATCTGCTTCTTGGATTGAACAGTGTCAGAAGAGATACAGAAATGAAAGATGGCCGTCTTTGATGGCACTGAGTTCTTATCAAGACGATTATAACGTGTGCCCCTCCCAATACAGCAAAAATACAAAGACTTCATCAACAAAGATCAAAGACAAGTGTTTTCATTTATAGAAAGGTGACATTCTATGCTTTAAGTACCATCCTGAGGAGGGTTAAAGGTCCTGTCTGTTGTACATAAGAATCAAGTTCAGATGGGACAAATCGTTGAAACTTTGGGATATGGAGGGCAATTTTTCTCCCAACTTAATTTGAAAGAGTCCTCACTATACAGAATGTACTGGAGAAATGTGTGTTAAATGAATTAAAATTTGATCTAACAGAGAAGGATAAGTACTGTGTATTCTAGTTACTGAGTTTCCCATCAATAGATGTTTGAGAAGTAGAGGTCTCATGCTATTCTTATTCTTTGGGATGTTATATAATAGCTAAGTGAGTTACTCTCCAGATGCCAGACACTGTAATAAACACTTTACAATCCTCATCTCATTTTACTATTGGGTAAGAACAGAAACAGGATTGCAGAGGTTAAGGCAGCCTCAGTATTACAAACGTTATGTGGTAGCGTTGGCATTCAAAACCTAGGCTCCTATTATCTTCATTCTCATGGCCCAGATGTATCAGAAAACTGCCAAGTTCTTTTCCAGTTATGATAAATTTATGCCTAAATCTAATATCTGTATTGAAGGTTAATACATGAACAAGGAAGATCTTTCTTTTCCAGCAAGCCTGTTTCCATGGAAATTGTATCTAAGGCTGCTGGGCATTATGACAGTTATATGTTCAAGCTAACATCTGTCCTGTCATTGACAAGACAGAGTCCAAACTCCTTAGCAAGGTTTTAATATACAGTTGCCTGCCCCTCAGTATCTATGGGGAATTGCTTCTGGAATCCCTTGTAAACACCAAGGCTACAGATGCCCATATTGCTTTATACAACACTTAGTATGTATGTAGAACCTATACACCTTCTCCCCCACACTTCCCTCTAGCTTATTAGCACTCCTGGTGTGGTACCAATGCGAGGAGATAGCAGCTACACCATGTGCTCAGAAAATAAGGATGAGAAGATGTTTTTACATGCTCAGCAGACAGAATCTATTCCAAACTTTTTTCACCTAAGGCTTATTTGAATCTATAGATCAGAACCCACAGGTATAGATGGTTGGCTGTATTCTATAATCTGGATGTATCAATTATTTTTCCACATCAGGATACTTTTTGTCTGTTTATCCCTCTTTATTACGTATATTTAACACATTTTCCACATCTTTCTTTTCTGTTTTTTTTTTTTTTAAGTTTTTGTTCCTTCATTTTTTGAGACAGGATCTCACTGTGTAGCCCAGGCTGTCCCTAAACTTATGTCAATTTTTCTGCTTCAACCACCTTAGTGTTTGGATTATAAACATGTGCTATCGTACCTAATTGTATTTCCATCTTGACTGTCCATCAAGTCATTCATCCATCAAGCAGCTACCTGTCAGGTGTGTCTGTGTTACCAGGAGGAATACCCTGCTCATATCTCATTTTTATATTACAGTATCATGAAAGAGACTGGTTGACCTATCTAACCCCTGCTTATTATGTAGGCTAGACCTCAAATTAGTTCCTCTTTCATGACTCCACCTCTGAGTACTGTGGGCCCTCCTTATCTCCTGTGCCTTTCATTCTTATCATATGTGCCTACATCACAATTCACATATAAGAAAAAGTTCAGATGGGAGTTGTGTTCTAAAGCCAGTGTGACGGGGAGAAGAGTCAAAATGGCCTTCATAAATCCTGTAGGAAGACAGCGCCACACAGGAAACTGTCTCCCAAAGGCTCCTCACAGCTCCCAGTGTAAAATGACTTGCTGTCGCCATGGTTAAAATGCCAGAGAAATCTTCATTTAGTGCCAATATGCCCAGCATAGTTACACTCATTCTGAGATGTTTTCAGAATGGCAGCTGTGAGGCCAGACTGACTCAGAGCACGGCAGCGGTGTGCTGCTACTTCAGGCCACTTTGGGCCTGTGAGCACCGAGTGGCTGGTGTGAAGCACCGCTAGAACCTTCTACATTATTGTCTCTTTCACAGAACTGCAGCTTCACCCACCCACCCGGCAATCAACTCTTTCAAATGGACATTACACTAGGAATTTCCTGAGCACGTGAATTATGTCTAGCACAACACAACCATTGCCTGGTAGAACAGGGCCACCTCAACAATCCATGGTTGTACAAGGTGCTTCACAATGCTCCTGTTGGCTCTTCAATCCATGTCTATATTGTCTACATTCTTGTTCCACAAAGACGGGCTACCTCCACACACCTCCTGTCCCTTCCTTTAGCATCTCTTCACTAGAATTATACTGAGTAAACATTCATCCTCTCCACTGGACTCACGAGTTCCTCTTCACCAATGGGTTGAGTGGATTAACATCCTCACTTATCACCCTCCCTTCATTCCTCATCTTTTGGCATGTGAGTCATCAGTGTCTCTCTAGCCTGACTCTGGACTTGGCAAGTGAGGTGCTTTGAGCAATAGATTGTGAGTGAAAGTGACCTGGGAAAGGCTGGGGAAGTGCTTGTTTATGCTACTGTCTTGTCTACTGCCCCAGAGAGGAGAACATTTCTGTCTCATGATGATGGTCTGTGCCAAGTCTACGTATCCAGTCCTAGGGCAAGTCTCAATCAGCCAGCTTCCAGTTGAGCTACAGAAATGTGAGCAACTCCAGCCAGCATTGCTACTAGTCTGATAACACATGAGCTACTCTGGAGTCCCCTTCAGCTGCCCCCAAGGACTCACAGTATTAAGGTCTGCTTTCACTAAGGAATACTAATGTTGCACTGGAGGAATACTCTCTAAAGACTCCCTGGTCCCTCCTGAGGACACGTGGCTGCTCTCTCACTGCTGCAAGCTCTGAATCACGTGCTTCCTCTATTGTAGATAGCATGTGTGACTACTATGAACATCTGATGGCAGAACTGGAATAGGCTTGTTTGTCAGCTTGCCTCCCCTCCTACTACTGTCCTTGCCAAGAACATCTCTGTGAGGGAGTGAGGCTGAGTCAAAACAGTTTGGGCACATCAGGATTGGAATCATGGTTTGGTGAGCGGAGCATTTCTGAAGCTGGGCATCTGGGGCCATAAAATGAGGGCTGCAGCAGCAGCTTTGCAGCCCCCAAGAGACATGCAAAAGAGCAAACCCACAAAAACCAGGTGGCCCACGGCAGACCACTTCAAAAGCTCAAGAGATATTATTTGGCTAAGTGAATTAATGACTTGACTCTCCCCTAACAAAATTCTCAGGAGGGGGCACCAGAAATAGAACATCTTTTATCCCATTTCCAGCTCCTAACACCACAGCTGCCCAGAGCATTCTCAGCCTCTTCTTTGATTTATAACTAAGAAGGCCAATGTTAATATACTAAACCCACCTGGACAATTAAGAAGTACCAAGTACCTTAGAGGATGACGTGTGCATCGGTGCAGCAGTGAAATGCATCTTATTTCATCTTTTATTTAAAACCAAGAATTGCTGTTTGCTTTGTACATCTGTTCTTCCTGCATCCTATCTAGCGGGTATGCATACTGGCTCTGAGATCCTTGCCTGCGTTTGACAAGGCCCATGAGTCTCCCCAGTGGGCTGCCCCTCCTCCACAGGAGAGGAACAGGTACTCACCCATCTGGAGTCCGGGGGCTCTCCTTCACAGTCACTGCAAGAGCAAGAGGCAGAAGGAAAAGGGGGTGTTGGTTGCAGGCTGGTTAAAGTGAATGATGCTCCCACCCTGGTACCCAGTGGTATGTGCACAGCCTCACATACCTACACTCGATGGTGTTATTTATGGGCACTTTGGCCTCTTTAAGGACAAGAACCCCTGTGTAGGTTTAACTTGTTAATTGCTTGTTTTTACCACATGGCCTGGCAGAGAGAACTACTCAACGTGTGTTCTAAATGACACTTAGATTTACTGAGCATGTGCTGTGTGCCACCCATGGTCAGAATACTTTCTCACAACAATTCCACAAGATTAGAGGTACCACAGTGCCCCAGTTCACAAGACAGGAAAATGAGGCTCAGTGAGTACCATGCTCAAACTGAAATGGCTCCTGGGAAGGAGCTGAGATCCACAAAGCCTGTTTGATTATAATAGACTCAGCATTTTGTTCTAGTCAGCCGTCTTTCCTTTGGGGACAATTGTTTGAAGCCTGAGTTCTTTAATGTTCATAAAAATCACTGCCAGGCATGGTGGTTCATGCCTTAACTCCCACCACTCAGGAAGCAGAGGCAGGCAGATTTCTGAGTTTGGGCACAGCCTGGACTACATAGCCAGTTCCAGGACAGCCAGAGCTACATAGAAAAACCCTGTCTCAAAAAAAACCAAACAAACAAAATGATAAATTAAAAAAAAAAATCACACTTAGTCTTCTCTGATGAGAAGCTGGCCACATTACCACCCTACACCTATGAAAGCTGTCTGTGCATGGGAACTTTCTCAAAGGGTAAGGCTGGAGGTGACCTGTAGTGCAGACTCTCCATGTGTGGTTCCCAGGGTCAGTATGCCACTACCCACTTAAAAGGCAAATGTTCAGACTCCCCCAAGATGAGAAGCTCTGAGGATGCGTTTTAAAAAGTCCTCAGGTGATTCTGATGCTGGCTCCCATATGAAAGCCACTGAGTTAGAAAGATTCAATTGTGAGGTTGCCCAAAGCACACAAATGAACAACCAAAGCTTATATTAGCTCTGCTACCCCACCTTCTGCTGCACTGATGGCCACAGTAAAACCAACATCCCCGCATGGCACCCACTGCACAGCGCCCAAAGTGTGCGTTCCCCGCATGTTCACTGAGGGAGCAAGAAAAGGTGTTTAAGAAGTCTGGAAGATGATGTCGAGGTAGGAACAGAAAGGACCAGAGGTGTTCCCTTAAATAGCAGAGGGAGGGAGACAAAAAGAACACAGAAAAATGGCTTCCAGGGATGTATCACGTCCTACAGAGGATGCAGGGCACAGGGACCCAAGGGGATCCCAGTAAATATGTCAGGTCAAGCTTACACTGACTTTTCCCCCTGTCCTTTCTTCCTCTTCCTCCTTCACTGACTGTTTAAAGCACAGGTTGTACAGCGCGCACAAAAGCTCAATGCTTCCTTGCTTGGAGACTTTTCATTTTCTTCCTCTTGGACAGATTCCCAGTGATGCAATGCAGTCTTCTCAGGGGGAAGTGATAAGGGGCCAATTCCTATACATGTGTCATTTCAAGGGCAAACTGCCACAGCGGTGATGTAAAACAGCTGTAATAACGTTCAGCCCCTTGGAAGAACAGCTTCTTACATGGAAGCGGGGTGGAGAGGGAAGGGCATGTGGTCCAGGCACTGGACTATGACTCTGGCTGGTGTGGGTAGGCACTGTTCATCCTCTTACCTTCTTTCAGGGTCTTGGAGACAGCAGTTGGCTGCCTACGGAAGGCCTGGAGGTCCACAAATGGGGGTTTTGAAGGCTTCTGGGGAGGCGGGCCGAGGGTCTCAATGGAAGGCAGTGGCTTTATTTTGGGAAGCTGTTGATGCCTGCTCTCTGGCTCATCTGAGTATGGATAGGAAAACATGTAGGGTGTTATTTACATTTGTTTGGTAAAACTGACCAGTTTGCTGGCTTCAGCCTTCCTCTTGTCTAACTAGTCTCCATCCAGCAGTGAGAACCCCCTGACCCAAACACATACCTGCTTACATCACTGTCTTGCTGATCATCTCTGTTCTCTGCTTCAGCACAACCTGGATTCATGTCATAGATATTCTCAGCAAACAGCACTGTCCTACTTCTCAACCTTTTGTACACACATCTTCCTCTCACACCACTGGCTTCTCAGTGCTCCAGCATTGGCTATCAAAGCCTTCGGTGACTCTCTCCTATCCAAGACTGCGCCTACCCCTCCTGACTATGGGATGCTGACTCCTTTCTTACCAACAACCACTTGTTAAGGCTGAACTCCAGTGACAGTTCCCTAAAAAAGCCTTCTTGCGTTTCCTGGAATCAAGGCTGGGGCTTACACTCTCTAATCTGCACGTTCTGGTATATTGCTAGTGCTGCTGCATCTGTGCTGTGGTTGGTGGGCTACTGTGGGGACTCGGTGACACTGCTCTCCCAGCTTAGAGGGGAGGGACTGTGATTACTCACGGAAAAGACTCCTCAAGTACGGGCTGAGCAAATAGCATAGGACTGGAAAGCAGAGTAGGAATTGGTCTCTGAATGTCCAGGGCTCTGGCTTCAGGGTTCTTAGAATCTATGGGTTCAGTGTCTTAAGATTTTCTAAATAGTCCCAATAGTGTGTATTTCTGCTTCCGGTATTCACAAATACAACCCCAACAGGAATTCCATGATTATACATGAAAATCATATGTGACATTTCTCCTGACAGAGAAAGACAAAGTTTTTTGGGTTTTTTGTTTGCTTGTTTGTTTTGTTTTTCAAGACAGGGTTTCTCTGTGTAGTTTTGGTGCCTGTCCTGGATCTCGCTCTGTAGACCAGGCTGGCCTCGAACTCACAGAGATCTACCTAGCTCTGCCTCCCAAGTGCTGGGATAAAAGGCAAGCTGAGATGGGAGGGCAAGCTTTCTTCTTGCCCTTCCATTACATGCCACATCTCCAGAAGCTCAGGGCCGAATTACTCTCTGTAAGTTTGCTGGGAATTTTAGTCTTAATAAATCCAAGAAGAAGACATAGGGAAAATCCAACACCAATTATTAACTGATTACTCACATTTCCCCCCAAGCACTGTGCTAAGCTGATCTACGTGGTTATCTCATTAAACTCTCTCCATAGTTTCACCTGGGAGATGACCCACCCTTCTTTTCTTTTTCCCATATAGCTTTCTTCTCATCCATCTTTCCCATCCTTCATTGGTACCTATTTATTTACTGTATTCCAGGCATTATTGTGGGAGATGGAGCTAGAACCAAGAACAGAAACTAATATAGTCCTGGCTTCAGGAATGTTCATCATAATAAGAAGAGACTGATGATACAGCAGGGACAAACAAAGAAGAGAGTCCTGAAGGTCTACCTGGCATGTGGACCATAAGCTGGTGAGTTAGGGGAAGAGAAGTCAGAGATGCAAGGACTTACATGCAAGGCCATTAAGGTTATTGCTGTGGAATAATCCTTCGGTACATTGTGAATATGTATTACTCTCATTGGTTAATAAGAAAGCTGACAGGCCAGTAGCTGGGCAGGGAATTAGGTGGGAAATCCAAACGGAATGATGGGAAGGAGGGCGGAGTCAGGGGAGACACAAGCCAGACAGCTGCTGAGGAAACAGGACATGTAGAAAATGAGGTAATAAGCCATGGGCCACGTGGCAAAGCATAGATAGGAAATGTGGGTTAATTTAAGTGTAAAAGTTAGCTAGTAACAAGGCTGAGCTATCGACTTAATACTTATTACTCATATTCAGCTTCTGAGTCAATTATTTGGGAGTGGGCAGTCGGGACAGGAAACATCTGATTACAGGTTATAGCACTTTAGTTTCTATTCTAAGTACAAGGAGAAGCCATAGGACTGTGAGTGATCCATTCATACATCAAGACATCCATCCATCCGTCTATCCAATCAACCAATCGATCAATCCACCAATCACTAAATAAACATCTTTTTGGAGACTTAACTTGATCTTGTTCTTTGTGATAAGGCGGTGAGGAAGATAGATTTTATCCTCTGAAAACTCCATCTTCCAGAGGCAAACAAGTGTTTGGCAACTTACTGGGGAGAGGCAAGGGCCTGAGAAAACAAAACACTGCAAGAAGTCCAAGGGCAGCAGGAACAGCGGAGACGCTATAAAGAGTCCACTCAGGGCAGGGGACACTGCCGCAGAGACTATGGAGGAGGAAGGAAGGGATCAGGCCGCCAGGGACTTGGCGGAAGAGTTTTCCAGGCAGATGGACTGACCTGTGCTAAGACCTGGGGCAGAACCGCCATCTTATATCTAAAGACTGAGTGGCCAATGAATCAGGAGATGAGGAAGATGGAAAAGCAGGCAAGCGCCAAACAGTATGAGGCATGTTAGATGGGCAGGCAGGTTTTGAGCAGCAGTGATGTGATGTGATCTGAATCATGCTACCTGACAGGCTCACCATGAAAACAGAACACCAGGGGGCGAGAGGGTGGGAGCAGGGAGAGCAGCTGGTAATGGCCCAGTGGGAGAAAAGTGTGGTCTAGGGGCCGGGGCACAGACAGAAGCTGAGGGATTCCGAACACACTTTCCGAGTAGAGCCAAAGAGGTAGTTGATGGATTCACAGCAAGGAATAGAAGGTCTGGAGATTAGAGTAGCCCCCTTAGGTTCCTACGCTGAGACAGGACACATTTTGTGCTTTTTTTTTCCTACACAGAGAAGGGTGCCGATGAATTTGATTCATAGTAGAACATACTAAGGTTTAAGAAGCTTATAAATCACCCACGCTCACGTAGCTTGTGGTAGGTAGAGCTGGGATTCAAGTCCAAGTGGAGCCAAACTGTGCCACAACGTAATTCTGGATTAGGCGCTTGCTCAAACCTGAGACTACAATTTAACAGGCTGACCACAGCCATGCTCTATTGCTGTCGCAAAGGCTGCATACACTTCAGTTCTGCAGGCTCGGGATGAGAAAAGCACAATGGTCTTGCCTCCAGTCCCCCGGGGACTCCATTTCTTACCTGGAACCGGGCTGGTAAGCTCGCACTCATAAACAGGCTGGCACAGGCTGCTCCTGGGGCTCTCCTCAGCACCAGGGCTGTCTGTACCTTTCCTGCCATGCTGAGGAAGCGGCAAAGGGGAGGCTTCAGAGGCCACAGGTGATTTTCTCCGGACCATCAAATGGCTCTGGGGAGAAAAGGTCTGGACTTCTGTTGTCTCCGGGCTCATCTCTGGTTTTATCTGAGCAAGCCCTGTGGTTTTCTGACTTTCCACATGGAAGGTCTTATTCCCACAGTTGGTAAGAGGCGGAGCTGGGGACATCTTACTGTTCTGAGATAAAAATTTCTCCCAGTTCCAAAGCTTAAATCTGAAGCTGCTGAGGACCAGTCCTTTCTCCTCATTGGATGTCTCAGCTTTTGATCGACTCCCATCCCGTGGCGTGGCAGCTTCCTGGGAATTTCTTGCAGGACACACAGCAGACTTTTCCGGAGGTCCCGAGGAACGTGAATTCTTCTTTTCCTGGCTTTTAAGAGGCTGGCATACTTCAGTAGAAGAAGACAGGGGCTGATGGTGATGGGATGAGAGGCCCTTCCCACTAGCCAGACTCTGAGCTGCCTGTGTGTGTCCCCTGTCATCCTTTCGAGAAACACCAGTTGGCAACTTAATCGGTCCTGGGAAAGGTGGGGCATCAAACTTTTGAAATTTGGCTCGAAGTTCCTTGAAGTTTCTTACCCCTTCCTGAAGCACAAAGAGGAAGAAAAGTGTCTGGTTACCCTGGGAAAATGTGCAGCATGATCAAGGGGCTTCATTGGCCGTGTTAAAGGTCTTCAAGGGCTGACATGAGGGGATGCTTCTCCAGGCGAGCAGTCTCAGCCTGTGTGGCTGCTAATGGTTTCTCCCATCTGTGTAGACAGCAGCAGCAGCACAGGCTGAGTCTACATAGATGGGGGAAACCATTTTCTCCCTCTTAAATTTGGCAATGTTGCATGTTCTCACAGCACGGAAGGACTAATTAGAGACAGTACTAGCAATTGATCATAAACATTTTTGGTGTTTTTGGCGAGACTCAGGGTCTCATTATATGCAGCCTTGCCTGGCCTGGAATTCTATGTAGACCAGGATCACAGACATCCACCTGCCTCTGCCTCCAGAGTGCTGGGATTAAAGGCACCACACCACCACATCTGATGTCTGCTAAGCCTTTTGATGGCTTCTCTCTTACAAAAAATAGTTAAAATATGCTTTGGCATAGAAAAATGCTCGTCATAATACAGTCTCTGTTTGCTCAGAAGATAACAAAATTTTATCTCCACACAAAACAATTCAAACATGACTAGTCTTATACCAAATGGGATGTTTACAATTGCCTTGGAGACCTTGCCCTGCCCACCATCCTGGCCTGCCTGAGTCACAAAGCATACTCCCATTTGCTTGTCAAGTGTTTCCTGGCACTTCCCGATGATTTCAAGCTCGCCCTCCATCCAGACTGCCTCTAGGAAGAACAGTAGGACCAGCAGCTTCACGGCTCCCTTGATGCTCTTCTGTCTCTTCATAACCTGGCTGTCGAATTTTACACCATGTAAAAGCAAACTTTAGAAGGCTTACGTCCAAATTCTGACTCTGCCCTTTCTCATTAAGGCAAACCATGTCTTTTTTTTTTTTTTTTGGTTTT